TGCATTATCTGATGCTTCTTTGATTTGCAATTAGACTGAAGTCTCTCTGAGATAAGATTCTTTTCTCTGTTTGAAAACTGTCTAACAAAATGAGGTTCTGGTCCAAAGCTAGACACTGTGTGCTATTTTGCTGTTGTCACCAAAGTGATAAAGAACAGCAAATCAGAATATTAGCAATTAAGAAACCTTTCCTTCTTCAGCAGGTAAAAGAAAGTGGTGTGCACATGCATGCTTACAGCCTCTTGTCTTTTCCTCCCAAGGATGTCTGTGTCTGATATGAAAGTGGCAAGTCATCCCATAAAGGAAATTCAGCTGAAGGCCACAAAATGCTGAATTTTTCTTTGATTGTCCGTTCACCCTGGAATGCACTTTTGCTTTTAGTAGCTTTTCTATTTTCTCACAGGCACAGAACAGTACTTATCTTACTTCATAGGCAGCCATTACGTCTGTTTTATCCACGTAAAGAGCACAGGAGAAATAAAATGATAGGTACCCTGATAAGTTAAGGAGGATAAACTTTTGAAGTCTACAAATAATGCAATTCCTTTTGGCTGATTGATTTCAGGTAAGTGCAGAGGACACAAACAACCTTTTTTTAAACTGAAAGGAATGCATCTGAATGATGGATAACTGCAGTTCAAGTAGAAACACTTTTAGAAGTTGCTTTATGGAGAATTGGCTCGCTCTGTCCCAGATTCCTGCTTCTATTCAGTGTAACTGAATGTTAGTTCCTCAGATTGAAAAGAACTCTGGAAAGGAGGAGAAAACTCTCCTACTCCTCTGTTTGTGGTGGTGTGCATGTGAGCTGCTCAAAAAGCAAAGCTCTGTGCAAATTCAATAGCTACATTGCTATTTGGTAGCTTAGAGCAGTATCAAGGATGCAGTAATTCTGTCATTGCAATACTCATAATACCCATACTAGCCAGCTCACAACAATTACTGTATCTTTCTTGCTCCCTCTCACCGCTCACCTGTGCCAGACTGTGCCAGAGATAGGCAGCATCAGTGCTCTGGGCATGTTGTTTAGTCTTGGAGGACCACATTATGCCCAAACTCATCATCACCCATTGCCAGAAAAAAAATTATTAGACTGGGCTGCAGGTGGGCCCAAGGCCTGTGTCTTGCAATTTAAAACTAAGTATTCAAAGAAACTTACCGTGCACTTGAAGTCTTTCTCCCTCTTCCTTCCCTTCTGGCTTCCTTCTGTTGTAATCTTGCATACATTTTCCTGTTATGCAGTAACTATTTTTTTCTCAGTGCAAGTTTCAGTGTGTACTAATAAAGTACATATCCTGCAATATAATGTAGGCTTCTCCTTATGAAGACAGTGAGCATTTATGGATGGAAACATCTTTGCACATACCTTATGCTCTCTTTTTTTCATCTTCAGTTTCAGTTATTTTTGCACTTTTGTGTTTTAGTACAGCAATCCCAAACCCTTCCTTCTCCTCTCAGTACACAGCATGAAAAGCTGGGAGAACAGTGTAGTCATCTTCCTGACTGATGCTATAGAGCAGCCAGTGAGAGCAAAAATGCCCCCATGTGAGAAAGCGAGAATTATATGAATACAGAGAGAGAAAGAAGCCTTAGTGGACAAAAAGCCTTGTTATAAGATCATGTTAAGCCAAGAACAATTGCAGGAGTTTAGTCTAAAGTAGCTGGTAAAATGTGTGAAGATTGTTTGCATGACACTATTATATTAATCTTACCTTCATTTTTAGAAGTAGATTGTAACTGGGAAATACAGTAGAGAAGGAATTCTAACTCTAGTCAAGGTACACAATGTCTTGGGTCTAGGCAGGCAAAACCCAGTGGTATTTGCTGGAGTAAGCAAGTAAAGAGGTTTGGAACTGAGAAGGGTTAAAAGTAAATTGCTACTAGCTGGGAGCAAAGTTATAATTTTTTTGTGGGATATTCTGGAATGGGACAAATTTGCTCACAATTTGATCCATTGCAGGATAAAATTTACACCTATGTATTCATTTGTTAGCTAAACTTGGCTACATCTGTCTTGGAAAAAACACAAACAACAATATAAAGCCATGTGTGTAGTTCTGAATTATAGATCTTGGGGCTTTTTCCCCTGAGAAATTCTTGAAATACCTTTGTTTATTTCCTCACTTTTCCACTAGCCTTAAGCAGGATATTACAGCTTCAAATGCTAATGCATTGTAAGCAACAGAGCAGTTGAAATAAATTCACTGGAATTTACCCACTGTCAGATACCAAGTATTTTTGTTTTGCATTTTCCTTGTTTGAATTATTGCGATGAAAATCCAAGAGGATACCTCTAAGTACTTAAATTATCTGTTCTTCATTTTTTTTATTCCAATATTAACATTTCTTAGCTTAGATTTTAGAGAATGTTATGTTTTTCTTAGGTGTCAATACCTGATTCAAAGATCCTTGCTTAAAGAAAACAACCCTTATTGAATCCAGCTGGCTTTGGATCAGTCTCCTACTGTTTCAGAATAAAAATAAAATTTGATTTTCAAACAGAATTTCAGGGGTTTTTTTTTGTATAGTTCTACCCTAGTGTCGCAAGTTGCCATTGCCTAAGACCACTGAACTAAGTAGATATCATTCATAAGGACAGCAAGGAACAGCACAACTTTTTGATTTCCTCAGTGGTATTTCCTCCCTCTTGCTTTTCCTGTGTGAAATAAGAGATGTTATTGCCAGCAGAATGGGTAGATTCGTGTTAATGCCTAAGAGCAAATGTCAAACTATAGAAATGTCAGTCCTGTATGCTTTCGAAGTATATAACCAGATAGATTATTATTTTGCTGTATCTTTTCTTTGAAAACTTTATATTGCATAATCCTCCATGCAATCTTGTATTGGGCACAAATACTGTGCTACATGACAATTTCTTCTAAATTTAGCAGCACAGCTTTGTAACGTTAGGCAGGGAAAGGCAAAAGAAAGTTTGGGTGGATAATTTCTCTCTCCCTGAAAAGAAGGTCTTTCAGAAATAGTCATACCAAAGAAATGCTCAGAGCTGTGAGTCACAGCATTAGTGGGTTGAACCATTATTCTGTGCAGGTATATGGGCATACATTTTCAGGATTAGCAAAATATAGAAGTATTATTTGTAATAAAAGTATATTTTAGGATAATGGCAGGGCTATAATCTCTGAAAATCTGAATTCTAAAGAAAGATTATAACTTGACTGGAAGAGAGATTGACACTTAAGAATAGATTTTTTCTTTTAAAGAATATTTTAAAAAAAACCACTTAAAATATTTTCTTGAAATGCAAAGACATGGAAACCAGACATTCTAGAATAAAGCCTCATACACCCATATTCAAGATCTCTACCATACAGATAACCTCTGAGAAGTGGTGCTTCTGGTGCATTCTATGGTCCTTTCATTTTGCATGTACCGTTGTCTGACTTTT